AATCATTTCTGAAGGCAGGGCACACATTAAAACCATTGAATATTTTATCAAAAATATTCAAAGCTAAATATAAAGAAATAATTTAATAATCTATGAGGATTGACATAATAAAAAGTTAAAGTTATTAAATATTTGTGAAATTGATCAAAGTATGCAACTATTTGCTTGCAATATTATATACCAAGTATGCAATGTTAGTAAAAATATTAATTAAAAATCTTTAAACTTATCTAATTCAAACAATAATTATAAAAACAAACTCAATAAAGAGTAACATAAAAAATAAACCAATTTTTATACCATTCTATGTAATGAAAAAGTATTTAAAGTATTAAAACTATTACGATAACCTTAAAAATAAAATTGTTCAAACGTTTAATACGTTACTCTCGTTGTCGTCGTTGAAAGACGTAAGGGGAATGGAGAGATCTCCTCTGTCTGTACTCCTTGAAGTGTCGAATGTATTGCTCCATGTTTTTATTTTGCTTTCGGCTCGAGAATTTCCTAGAAATAAACAATTGCCTTTAGTTCGAATGTTTTGTCTTTTTATTCTGTCTTCATACTTTCTTTCTCTCTCTATCTCTCACTCTTTCTCTCTCTGTCTTACTCTGTCTCACTCTGTCTCTCTCTATCTTTACGTCTTTATATCTCTCTCTCCCTCACACTCACATACACTCTTTCTATCACACTTTTCTCTGTTTTAAAAGAAAAGAGATAGACGTACCTCGCAAATCTAAAGAAGATAAAACAATTGACAGTATAAGGTTAGGTATATATACTCGTGCTGGATTTTTCCAATGCAGGGAAATCCGAATAATCTAAAAAATAAGAATGCATTAATATGATATCAAGAAAATCAAATATATATGTATATGGTTCCCTGTATTATATGCAGATACTATTTCTATTAAGACATAACGATGAAAAATAATTCATTATAGAATCATTAGAGATTGTAGTAATTATCGATGTCGTGAGAATAACCTAAAAGATTAAAAAAGTATTGTTAAGTAACGAAATCGAATGGACGTGACGCGAGCCGGGGAGACGCCGATTTTATTTTCACAGATATCTTTCAAACTTTTGAATTTATTTGTTTGAAAACACTCACGTATAAAAAGTTAGCTTGTAGCTATCGTTTAATATATAATAGAAGGCTGTACGATAAAAAAATATCTTTTAATTACCTGAAATTAACGGGACGACACAGGTTCCGTGCGATCTCCATGACAGTTGGAGGGAAAAGACCGCTTGATTTGCATCTCATTGGCTAATCACTTTTGGTCTTACGCTTTGAAATTGAAATGACCAATTAAAACATCTTTTTTTTATTTCACGCAAATAAGCTTACTGTGATTGGTTGAAATTTTGTCGTTTTCAAATTCAAACTCAAAATCAAATTATAATTGTTATTACTCAAGATAATTATTTATTTAATAAATAAAAAATAATGTTATTTTTTTTTTAATAAATGTACAATGTCTCTTTTAAATAATCTAAAAATAATGAACAGAATAAAGAAAATATAAATACTATGAAAATTTTTTCGTATCGCACATAAGTAAGAAAAGAATTTCAACCAATCACGGCAAGCTTATTTGCGTTGAATAAATAAAAATCTTTTAATTGGTCACTTCAATTTCAAAACGGTAGTTCTTTTCCCTCCATTTATTGTTGGAGATCGTACAATAGCTGTGTGTCGTCCCGTTAATGTCAGGTAATTAAATAATATTTTTTATAAATATTAATTATAAAGAAATAATTTAATAATCTATAAAAATTGACATATATAATGAAAAGTTCAAGTTATTAAATATTTAAGAAATTGATCAAAGTACAGTATGATGCAACTATATTTTATTGCTAAGTTACATACCAGGTATGTAATGTTAGTTAAAATACTAATTAAAAATCATTTAAATAATTCAATCGTATTCAAACTAACACGATAACGTTAGAAATAAAATTATTCAATAATTTATTCGGTAATTACATGTGCTAGGTTTAAACTCGTCGAAGGACGGGAGAGGAATGAGATACATTGCTGTTTAACCTTCATAGTGTCAAAGTCTCGGCAGTTTTCATTTTGCTTTTGTCTTAAGAATCTCTTACGGATAAACGTAATATTCATAATAATCTGTAGATTGAATGTTATTTTCTTCTTTTTGTACACTCTTTCTCTCTCTCTCTCTCTCTCTCTCTCTCTCTCTATCTATCTATCTATCTCTCTCTCTGTCTCTCTGTCTCACAACACATACACTTACACATACAAACATTCCTTCTATTTCAATAATTATATATGTATATATATATAACGTTTTCGTGTTAGATTTAATGTTTTAATAAACTTCTTTACATTGAATGGTATAAAAATGAGTTTATTATTTAATTTAATTTTTATATTGAGTTTTTTTTTTTTATTAAATATTATATTTAACATAACATACTTTATATGTAATTTTTATACAAGTATTTAGATTTAGGTAAATAATATTTTAATAAATCTAACTATAAACCAGGTAACCATAACCTAATACAGATATATATATATATTCTAATATAATACTATATCATATATATATATAGGTATATTATTATTATCAATTCTTATTTGAGTACAAATGAATTGTTAAAAAGATTTTGGAATATTTCGATGTATTTTCAAATGTATTTATTTTATTTATTATTTTTCTAAACCTTGAAAATCATAAATTGCAGGCTTACCTGTCCCGCGATAACGGCGAGTGCCCGCAGGTGTACAGTCCGGTCTGGATGAAGGACGGGAGCTCGACAACTTGGAAAAAGCTGTATATGCTGTTACGAGACCGGAAACTCTATACGATGAAGAAGGTAAGATACTCTTATGTAACATATTCTTGCATATCGTGGAAGAACTCTGAGAGACTTAATTAAAAGAAGCGAACATGTCGTCGCTTTCTTTATTTGTTTTCTTTTTTCTTTTAGTCTTTCTTATCCCGAACAGAAGGAACTTCGTTGAGACTTCTATGTATTTCTTTCTTTCTTTTTTCTTACTTTTTTCTTACTTACTTTTGTCTGTCTTGTTCATAAAAGCTTTACGAGCAGTTTCACGATGTGCTTGCTTGAAACGCGATGGAAATAATTCGCGTGTGAGTGTCTACTTTGGTAAGATCGTTAATTAAAACCCTTTTTCCCTGTTTAGGATGTTAATAAACTTTCTTCATTAATATTTTTTCTTTCTATTATTATTATTATTTCTAATAATAATTATCTGTACTCGTAAATATTAACTAAAAAAAGTTACAAATCAAATCTGAATTAAATAAAAGTAATATTATATAATCATGCGTGATAATCATTTTTTACATGTTTTTTCCGACATTTAAGAAAAGATATGATAACATGTAATCGATTTATTATTAATTTATGTTAAATTATTTTATCGTAATAAATGAATGAATGTTTTTCGTTAACCATGCGTGTCTATTGATTGACAAGAAGATATTATATTGATAGAGAAAAAAAAAAGAAGAAAATATGACGAGACGGTTTGAATTTCTCGTTTCCTTCTTTCAAGTTTTTGTTAAAAAAAAAAAAAAAACTTTGAAGGTAGACATTAGTTCATGCTTGAATGCGGATCAGTAAGATATAGGCTTTAATCGTGAATGGTTTCCTAACACGATAACGTTTCACACGTGATATCAATTTGTGGTATTTTTTACAAATACCACACCAATGACATATTAATTATATTTTCTTGTAATTATGCCAGGGAATAGTAATTTAAAAAACAAATATGTATTTTTCTTATTTATTTATTTATTTATTTATTTATTTTTGATACTGGTCATTGGAATATTAATTTATTCATTTAATTTATTATATAATCAAATATTAGTAATTTGATTTTACATTTATCTGTTCTCAATAATAATTTAATTTATTATTATTAATTTTTTTTGATATNTTAATTTATTATATAATCAAATATTAGTAATTTGATTTTACATTTATCTGTTCTCAATAATAATTTAATTTATTATTATTAATTTTTTTTGATATTGGTAATTGAAATATTAATTTATTATATAATCAAATATTAGTAATTTGATTTTACATTTATCTGTTNAATTTATTATTATTAATTTTTTTTGATATTGGTAATTGAAATATTAATTTATTATATAATCAAATATTAGTAATTTGATTTTACATTTATCTGTTTTCAATAATCATTTAATTTATTAGGATTAGTCAAATTGTAATTCAGTGTAATTCGTTGTATTAGTTTTTACCTTTTTTTTTTTTTTTTCTTATTTATTCATCATACATTAAAATAATTTTTGTTTTTTTTTCTCTCTCTCTTAGTAATTTACCGAACAAAGAGTCGACACGTTTGCAATTAGTTGTCGTCGTTGTTGCACCGGTCAAAACGTTCCTGCGAGTTTTATCGTGCGTGTGTTGTACGAACGTAAACACGTAAAATATGTTTCTTTTACAAGATAATTTCAACTTTTCACTTTTCGTTTTTAAATTTCTTGTTCTATTTTTAATTTTTTTTTTTTTTCGTCGTTGTTTCCCTACCCCAACCAAGTTTCGTACAACCCAATCGTTTACATCGAATTTGATCCTTCGTTTTGATAGCTTGACCGCTTCAAGCAAAGTGGACAATTATGCATGCTCGACGTTTCCCTTTAATTTTAACTTTTTCATTCCTCTTTTACTTTCTTTCCTTTTTATTTTATTTTATTTTTTACATTTTGTATTTTATTTTATTTTTTATTTTTAAAATAACAAGTATCTACTACCAATAATACCATATGTTTAATATCTCATGTCTACTGACCATATGCATTATTATTATTATTATTATTATTGTTATTATTGTTATCATGTTTTATTTTTTATTTTTATTATAGGATATCAAACAGATCGGATGAAACTTTTTACAGTATAATAATAATCACTAATAGTATTAAATATTTTGTATATTTCAAGATTTGATTTTTGTATTTTTAAAAGAATTTATTTTTTGTGTCTTATTTTTTTTAATATAAAAATTGTACATTTTAATTAGTATATTAAATTCTATATACACCGGGTATACTAGAATTTTATTTTACATAATAATAATAATAATAATTACTAATATTACAATTATTATAATTATTGAGTGTTCCTTTGAAGAGTAGTAGGAAAATAACGTTTGAAAAAGTTGAACGAATGAGTTTTTAATTTCTCGTATGTTGGTATTTTACATTTATTCGTACTACCTCTTACGACTTTGTAATAGCATGGAATATTTGCCGTGTGCAAGCTTTGATCAAAGCATCGAGCTTTTAATTCGCCCCTCGCTTCCAACCTCCTTCTAGCAAAGTACATATTCATATAATACATAAGCACACACCCCTATACATATATATATACACATATATTTACTCATACTCACACGTACGTATACATAAACGTACACATACATTTAAGTATAAAAATATATATAAATATATATTCTAAAAATGTGTATCTGTATTCATTTATACATTTGTATATGTTCATGTATAAATGTGTGTATATGTGTGTGTATTACGTAGGTAGTATATGAGTAGGAATTTAGAGACTGCTAGCGTCTCGTTTTTCACCGGTCGAGCGATTCATAGGGTTCTTTTGTCCGCCCATATCTTTCCTTTTCTCTCTCTCTCTCTTTCTCTCTCTCTCTCTCTCACTTTTTCTGCACCCCTTCGAACGAGTTCCATGCATTTTTGCACGACCAGTGAACAGAAGTAACAGCAAGCATCCAGCAGTAGCAGTAGCAGTAGCAGCTTCCCCACTTATAAAGAATCTCCTCAGTGTACTATGAAATGCAGGATAATCCTGATTTTACAAACGAACAATTGTGTTGAAATATTTCATCATTTTACTGAACATCTTTTTTCTTTTTCTTTTTTTTTTATATCATATATTTTTAAATCTTTTAATTACTACAATAATACTTCCTACATTTATTCTCAAATTATGATAATTCTTACAAAACAGGTACAACGTATGCACTTGAATGAATGGAAGATAAAAACATTGCAAAAGTTTTCAAATGAAAGAAGGAGATTGGTAAAGAACATTTGTAAGATTTATACAACGTGTATAAAATCATTGAAAAAAAAAAAAAACGAAGAAAAAAACAAAAAAAGAATTGACAAGTTTAGGGGAACGGGTTGTAAGAGAATATTTGCAAAGGTACAGACTTAAATAAGCCTTCCACCTCTCGGTTGAATGTGTACATAATTAAAAAATACAAATCCTACACTTGGGGGTAAAAACTTGATAGACAACATTTACAATCACCCTATAGAAGTGGCTTAATAAAATACAGTAAAAAAAAAAAACAAAAAATTGAAAGTAGTTTGAGAAAGGGAGTAAACCCCGGTGAGAAAGAACATTTGCAAGCTTACATAGGAAAAGTGTAATACAGGTATAAAATAAAAATTAGACAAAAAAAAAGAAAAAATTGGCACAAATTTTAGGGAGAACATTTGTTGACTTCGTAAGAGTGGTGCAACGAGTATGAAATAAAATTGCAGTAGTTTGACAGGAATAAAACTAAGAAGGGTAAGAGAAACAGGCTGATGAGGGGGTATAGGGGGTTGGTAGATTAACATGAGTCGCGTTCGATAAAAGTATGAATTATAAAGCGGTATATTATAAACGTAAAAATGAAAAAACAAAAACAAAAAATAAATAAATAAATAAAAATAAAAAAATGATGAGTCGACTCGTTCGCAGAAAGAACAAGCGTGTAGAGAAAAATAAAAGCAAAAGGGGCTTTTTGTGGGGAGGGGGAAAGAATGGTGGCAGGGAGGGGGAGGGCGTTGTAGAAAGTAAGGGTAAACATAATTGCTGAGAAGCTCGATAGGCCTAACCCGTTTTTTTGTGGACCTTCGCATGAAGAAAACATGCTACATTGTGATTATCGCTATTTAAGATCGATCAGGTTATTTTGTACCTGGGTGACTCTCTTCAGGAAGTTTTTTTAACACTTTGCTACGTCAAAGTTGTTTTTTTATTTTTTTTTTTTTTTATTTTAGAAAAAAAAATATACGTGAGTTGTCCGGTTTGTCTTTTTCTTTCTCTCTCTCTCTCTCTCTGTCTCTTTGTTTTTTTTTTACGTCAAGGTTGTGACGATAATTATCACGAAATTCCGCGAGTACGAATGCGTGAAAATATTTGAAGTATTTTACAAAAAAGATAGAGAGAGTGAGAGTGAGAGAGAGAGAGAGAGAGAGAGAGAGAGAGAGAGAATGGTGTTAAAGTATGGATAATTTATATTAACACGCAAATTTTTATGATAAACGTGACATTGAGGATTTTAGGTGACGTTTCGGAGAGATAGGTGTTTTTTTATATTTTTTTTTTTTTTTTTGATAATAAATAATTGTCTTTTTTTTTGGTTAGTTAATATTTTTAGTTTAACTTAAATGCAATTGTCTATTTTATTTTATTTTTTTTTTTTTATTTAATTTTAAAGATAAAAATTATCCACATTTTTCAAGGAGAGAACTTTTCAAATTGCAAGAAACGAAAAATGTTGCAACAAAAATTGTGATCTATGATATAACAAATTTGTAATATTAAATTTTGTATTTTCTCATTTTTCTTTTTTTTTTTTTATCATTTTATTTCTCTAACGAAGTTATTAATAGTTTGAAAAGTCTTTTAGAAAAAAAAAAAAAAAAAAATGAAAAAGATTTTGTTCGATGATTAATCGTAGTGTAATTATTCGTTGCAAGTTACGTTCAAAACGACGACGTTAAAAGGAAAATGGAAAATGGAAAGAGATAAGTATCAGACTACTGGTCGAAGTAATACTTATACCTAGA